GTGCTAAGGACCTAGGAAGACTAATAGAATTAGACAATTGATAATACCTATGGAACAAAGGATTCAAATGTACACTATCTGGATCAATTAGGGAGAATCAATACAAAATGTTTTACAGATGTTATATCACTCCAGCAACATTGGCTAAAATAGACAAATCACAACAAGGTATTTGCTGGAGGTGCAGGAAACAGAAAGGGACATTTCTCCACATGTGGTGGACCTGTGTGATCATACAGGAATTTTGGGATAAGGTAATTAAGGAGACAAATAAAATGTTACATAACAAGATTAAAAAAGCCCAGGACTGTGTCTGCTAGGTCTACAGAGAGAAAATAATAATCAAAAGGACCAAGAAATATATCAATATAGCTTTGCAGCGGCAAGATTGACCATAGCCAAAGATTGGAAAGGGGAAAAAGGTCTAACCAAAAAGGATTGGAGGGAAAGAATGCGAGAATATATGCTAATGGCCAGACTAACTTATAACAGGAGGAATAAGAGTAATGAGGACTTTCTAGAAAAATGGAAGTTGGCCTTAGCATATCTGAATAGAGAGTCAGTAACATAGAGGTGCTCCATTAGGAATTTAGGTTTACCATGAATAAGGATAGATAAATAGGCTTAAAGGCTTCATAGTGTTTCGGTGCGGGAAGTCATGGTGAAGGGTGCACGGGTGTGGGGATGAGGGTTTAGTTCGTTCAGGATAGGGATTTTGGGTTGAGTGTAAGGTCTGGGGTATGTGTGTAAAATGCCATGTGCTGATTTCCTGTATGTTATGAAAAAAATTAATATTAAGCTCTGACTGAAAGCAGTGGAAAACAGCCAGAAATAGCAAGTTTATGTGTATTAAGATATGTAAATGATAATAATTTGTACATAACGTCAAAATTAACTGATTGATTGAATAAGGTAGATAGGCATGTACACGTCAAAAATATTGGTACCTGATTATATCTGATTTGCCATGGTTTGCTTTTCTGTTATGTACCATAATCAAAATAAACAGTTTTAACAAAAAAAAAAGTTCACAATAAGCAGCGATTCAATGCCATAACAATTATCAAAATACAGTTTAAAAAATTAAACATTTAAAATGTAATATAAAAGAAACAATAATGTCTGTAAAACAAAATCCTCAGCATCTCCTTACTAAAATTGTTGTCCAATTGCGTTGTTGGTGGTTCCATATATTCGTTTTCGTCTAATTATGTTCCAGTAGTAAAAGCTTGCTCGAATATTTTGCAGAATATAAGAAGGGAGGGAGCCAATCTTATATGCCTGGGAAGGGCGTTCCATAGCCAAGGGGCCACCACTGAGAAGGACCTGTCTTTTGTCCCCACCAAATGCATCTGCGAGGAAGGCGGGATCGAGAGGAGGGCCTCCTCAGACGATCTTAAAAGTCCTAGATGGTTCAAAAGGAGAGATACATTCGGATAGGTAATCATTTCATGATTGGGTTGCTGTGAATTTTTTGGGCTGAATGGCAATCCTCCAGTAGCATTCTTTCCCAACATTTTGCCTGCACCTGTTTCAAGCATCCCCAGAGTTTTGTTCAGAAGTGAGGCAAGTGGAGTATATATGTAACTGTGGACTGTTCTTTCCCCCACCCTGGGCAGTCCACAGATATATATACATCTCACTTGCCTCATTTCCAACAGACCTCTGAACAAACCTCTGAGCATGCTTGCCACAGGTGCAGACAAAACATCAGGAAAGAATGCTACTGAAAGATGTCCATACAGCCTGAAAAACTCACAGCCATGCAGTGATTCCAACCATGAAAGCCTTTGACAACACATTTCATGATTCTATCCGTGTTAGAATTGAAAGGCACAAAGAAGCAATTGGAGTTATAAAGCTGCAACTATTTGCATTGCAGAGATACTGTTATGGGTTCTTGTAAGTTTTTCAGGCTATGTGGCCATGTTCCACAAGCATTCTCTCCTGACATTTCACCTGCAAGTATGACAGGCATCCTCAGAGGTTGTAAGGTCTGTTGGAAACTAGGGAAACTAGGAACTTTTCCTAGTTTCCAACAGACCTCACAACCTCTGAGGATGCCTGCCATAGTTCCAGGCGAAACATCAGGAGAGAATGGTTCTGCAATATGGCCACACAGCCCGAAAAACTTACAACAACCCAGTGATTCCAGCCATGAAAGCCTTCAACAACACAATAATAATAATATTTTATGGATCAATAGAGGCAGGAATTATGTTCCCTCCCACTGGTTTCACCTCTTATCTTTTTAGCTGCTTACTGTGTGGATTTTTTCATTGTTTATTGTTCAGGCCATAGTTTATTTGCTTGTTAAGGGTTGTTTTTATCTGTTTTCAACTTTATTTAAATGTTAATTTAAGATGTTTGCTTTGGTCAGACATCACTTAGAATACTATGTCCACTTTTGGGCAGCAGAATTCAAGAAAGATATTGACAAGCTGGAATACATCAAAAGAAGGGCCACTGAAATGATCAAAGCTTTAGAAGCCAAGTCCTATGAGGAGTGCCTTAGGGAACTGGATATGCTTCGCTTAGTTTAAGAAGCAGTGCTCTAGAAGACTAGAACGTGGAGCAATTGATTCAGATTTCAGAAAAAGAGATTCCCCTTAAACATTAGGAAGAACTTCCTGATGGAAAGAGCTGTTCAGCAGTGGAATATGCTGCTTTGGAGCATGATGGATGTCTTTCTCTGGAGATTTTTAAGTAGAGGCTGGATGGCCATCTATCAGTGCTTTGATTGTATTTTCCTGCATGATGAGGTTGGATTGAATGACCCTTATAGTCTCTTTATAGTTGTATTCTGTACCGGAAGACACTACTAACATGGAGCAAAATTATCAGGTTGGCTTGTTTGTATACATTCTGATGAAAGAGTTTGGATATTGCCCTTGCGCGACTTTCCATGAGGCTGTCTTGCTGGAGATTGTTTTAGTGGGTAGGTCACATCGGTCTAGGTTTGGACTGAAGCAAGATCCACACAGTTCTCTAGATGTTGTGGGATGACAACTCTCAGCAGTTCTAGCCAATTGTGAGGAATCCTGGGAATTGTAGTCCAGCAACTTCTGACCTCTGCTTCAGGCAATACCACATAAGGCCAAAACTGTTATCAGCTGACTGTCTCAGGAAATATCCCCCTGCTAAGTCCCTGCATGTCACCTGTTGCTATATGCTTAGGTGTAAGGCCCATGAAATAAAATGGCAAACTTAGCACTCTAAACAGTTGCACAAAAATGTCTGCTTTTCAAACCAGTAAAAAGGGCACGATGCATCCTGACATTAAAACAGGATCACACACGAAGGAGTTATTGTGGTGCTTGACCTATTGCTGCAACATGTGCAAATATTGCTTAATTTAACTATCTTCAGCATTTGCCATTTGTTAGTTGCAGGATTGTGGCAGTTGTGGTTCAAACAAATTTTCCAAGCTCTGTTGTTCCCTTCTTACCCTTTCACACGCTCATCATCTTGGTCAAATATGTGAGGTCTGTGTGTGCCTATTTCATCAAAACTAGTCCTGGGAAGAGATTAACTGAACTTTGGCTAAAGTTTATTTTATTTCGTATCAAAAGCATTGCATAAATTAGTATAAAACCAATAAAAATAGAAGAAGCGCTGGTGGTTAAATATCTTTTGACCAGAAACGGGCAACAGCAATGGCATTGTCTGTTGCCTCCAACAATTCTTCCTCTGTACACGAGGCAGGGCATAGTGGACAAGCATACAGATGCAGAGCTGTCTGTTCTGCTTCACAGTCACATAAGATGTGGGATTCTTTTAGGTAGTGCCATTTTGCCAGGTTGTCTTTTGTTCTGGAATCACTTCTGAGTCTGTTCCGGGACCTCCAAGTTGCCCAGTCTTAGTTTGCCCCTGGAAGAAGACCCTTGTGGGGGGCTATCCAGTTGGGGTTTCCTGGTTTAGGGGGGATACCCTTGCTGTTGCTGGGGGGATGCCAAGAGGAGTGGTAGTTCTCATAAAGCTTTTCCTTGATTTGAGTCTACTGGGAGGAGAGTGGATGGTTTTCACAGTGTTCAATCTTATTTCTCTCACATTTAGCAGCAACTTCCTGTCACACATCGGCTGGGGGGTGGGTGGCAGCTTGTGACTTTATCAACAGGTGTAGGCTTAAGACATCCTGTGATTATTCTGCATTTTTCATTTACTATTATGTTCACCTGCTTTGCATGGGCAGATCTATGCCAAACAGGGCAGGCATACTCAGCAGTTGAGTAAGACAAGGCTAGGGCTGATGTTTGTACTAATTTTGGGTCTGCACCCCATGTAATAAATGTTGTAGCTTCATTTTTAGTGTGCACATGAATAGCTATGTAGTTTCATTTCCAGGCTATCAAGTTCCAGGGACCTACTTCTTACTTTGCCTTGACTTTGAGTTGGGGATGTGGGTGCATGCATGAGTCCCATTCCCACAATTCTTGGAGATACTGTTCCTCAGAGCTTTATGAGTTGATTGCAGAGATCCAAAGAATGTTTCTGAATAAGCTTAGTTGAAAGAGTTTGCATGGCAGAGAACTCTAGCTTATCAGGATCCCCAATCACGTGGCAACATGTGAGCAAGTTTGCCCAGAAAAGCCTATGCACCCCCTTCAGACATTCAAAGGACATGTGTGCTGTGGTCAAGAGAACACATAATGAGAGCTTTAACAGGACTTTCTTCTGAGAAAATGCACTTAGCATTGCCCATTATTATAATAATCCTGTTCTGGTTTGTTTCAGTTTAAATTTACCTATAAATAAGTGTACATATGCATTTACTGAACTAGGAAACAGGCCGACCACTTTCCTTTGCACCATTTTTCCCAGTGAGACTTGCAACCCATCTTCTCCTCCTGGTGCTATTTGTGTGCAAGATGAGACTGCTTTGTATGCCCTTGACCACAGAAGAAGAGAAAAAGATTGTGTGTCTATTAATCTCTCTGGGAAATGGCCAAAGTTCCTCTGTGTCCCTTGACTTATAAAACATACACATAAATAACTGTATATACATATAGATAGATATTTCTTTATTTATATATGGCAGTTTTATTTATTGATTGCTTGATGTGGAACAATATCAATTGGCAAATGTCTTCACACACACAAAAATTAAATTGGCTCAGTCTGCAATCATTTAAGCACAGCCATATTAATTACAAAACAACCCCCCAAATATAATCTAAAAAACCCTACCAAGGAGAGCATTTACAAATGCACAAAAAACGCATGCCACTTTGGCTTTATGGGAAAACATCTTCTAGATTAAAAAAAATCTTTTTAACATAAATAAGTTAGTATAATTTTTCAGTGTTTTTACAAAGTTATGTACACAGGTACATTTCAAAAATTTATTTTTTTTAAAAAAACAAGGCATTATAAAAATACTGTTTAAAGATGTCGTTTTCCTTTTTTTTAACCCACCCATGAACATCAGAGAAGTGAGTGAGATGAAGAGAGGCTGAAGTTCAGGGTTTTCCTGTTCTCCTCTCCATTCTATGCAGAGCAGGGATTTTAAATTATTTCTCAAAAAAATATCTAAAGTAACAGAGATACCAAAATTATTAGGAAAGAATATGTAAAGGGTTCCAAGTAGGGAGACCTTGATGCTGCTACATAATGGAAACAAAGTTCCTCAAAAACATTTAGGACACAATCGCCCTCTTGCATAAGGTCCCCTAAAATGAATCTGCTTTTCCACATATCTCATTCATTTTAGTGGAATTTAGCAAATATAAAAATTGCTAGAAATTTCTCCAGCAAATTACCTCAATCTGCTGTAGCCAGTGTTAACATGTATTTGCTTTTCTTGGACTCCATTAAATGGGATAAGACATCTTTAAGAAATAGACATGTGCTGCTTCTCTCCATAAAACTCTTTGCCTGCTAGGTTTTGGAAGCAAATTTTGAACCCATCTCCTTTTATGACATCCACCCCTCCCCAAAACAAACCAACTGAAAGATGGGAGGGAGAGATGCAGGTTTATGTGCTACATAATGTAAAAACTATATACACAGGTAGTACAATGAAGCAAATGAGGAAAAACCTAATTGCAGAATGCTACATCCAATGCTTTAAGAGGCAGATCTTTTAAGAGTGCCTGACTTTAGTGTTATTCAAAGACAGATTTCTTTCAGTGCTTTGATAAGTTCTCCATTCCATGGAGAAGCAGTGATACGTTTTTTTTCTTCCGTATATAAACTCTGCATCTTCCTTGCTTCATGAACCCAATGCCTCCAAAGAACAAGGAAACAAATGTTCTTTATTCTGAAATGAAGGAAGAGATCAGGAGTCAGTTGCCGAGAACAACAATACCTTGTTTCATTGTTAGACTACAAAGAATCACCAACTGCTACCAACATACCCAACAAGCCAAATAAGTTTCCACTCAGGGCGTGGCGCCACAAATGTTGTGTCCACTCAAATCAGTAACTACTAGGTATAATGTTGCATACACTAAACAGACACTGTTGCTTATCATAAGCTTCCCTTTGCTAGCAGTGTTTTTGTTTTTGATAGAACTGTGTTGTGCAGAAAAACTGGATTGTGACTGGATTCTGGCTTTTCAAAGGCTTTCGGATTTTGCCAGGCTGCTTCCACCACTTATTCAGTGTGCTCTTGGCTCTGGTCACTGCCGGCCAGCCCTCCAGTAATTTATATATAACACCAGACCTGTTATCCATTTTATCACCTGTTATCTCGTGCATTTGCCCCCCCCCCCCCGTGTTTGACTTTTATTACTGTATATACTCGAGTATAAGCCTAGTTTTTCAGTCCTTTTTTTAAGCTGAAAAAGTCTCCCTCGGCTTATACTCCAGTCAAGGTTTTTTATTATTTTACTCTATTATTATTATTATTATTACATTAATCATTTTACTCTATTATTATTATTATTATTATTATTACAACATTTATTATTTTATTCTTTATTACTGTTATTATTACATTTATTATTTTATTCTTTATTATTGTTATTATTACTTTTAGTATTTTACTCTATTATTATCGGAAGGATATGTAAACACATTTACACTGAAGAAGGTTAGAATAATGCTTTAATCAGAGGACAGTCTTATCTTATTTACTCAAAAACATTTAACCTACCGATGCCTCAATTAATGTAATTTTATTGGTATATATTTTTATTTTGGAATTTACCAATAGCTGCTGCATTTCCCACCCTCGGCTTATACTCGATTCAATCCGTTTTCCCAGTTTTTTGTTGTAAAATGAGGTGCCTCGGCTTATATTTGGGTCGGCTTATACTCGAGTATATACAGTATGTTATTTTGCACTGTTTATTTTATTCCGTTATTTTATGTATTTTGTTGTGTTGTAATTTTTCTGTTGTTTTCTGTCTAATTATGCTGTATTATTTTTGGGCTTGGCCTCATATTGGCTGCTCCAAGTCCCTTTGGGGAGATGGTGGCAGGTTATAAATTATTATTATTATTATTATTATTATTATTATTTTCTAAATGAAATACTTGGCAAAACTATTTATTTGCAGGCAGAACCTGTTTTTACATTTTTCTAAAACAGTGTTACGTTTGGTATAAATCACACTATACATTTCTAGAGAAGGCACTGAAAAGAAAGTGATGGCAAACACTACCCAATTTCCCTCCCTACAGCAAGTGCTCCACAAAGAGGAGAGGGATTTCCTCTCAAATCCCCAAGGAAACAAGTCCATAGTAGATGAACTTGCAAACCTGTTCTTACTTCCTCCAAGAACCTGTGCTTGTTCTAAGCATCTAGTACAGTGTTTCTCAACCTGTGGGTCATGACCCCTGGGGGGGTCGCAAGGGGGTGTCAGAGGGGTCACTAAAGACCATCAGGAAACACAGTATTTTTTGTTGGTCATGGGGGTTCTGTGTGGGAAGTTTGATCCAATTCTATCATTGGTGGAGTTCAGAATGCTTTTTGATTAAAGGTGAACTATAAATCCCAGCAACTACGACTCCCAAGTGTCAAAGTCTATTTTCCCCAAACTCCACCAGGATTTGGGCATATTTGGGCATATTGAGTATTTGTGCCAAGTTTGGTTCAGATCCATCCTTGTTTGAGTCCACAGTGCTCTCTGGATGTAGGTGAACTACAACTCCCAAACTCAAGGTCAATGCCCACCAAACCCTTCAGTATTTTCTGTTGGTCATGGGAGTTCTGTTGCCACATTTGGTTCAATTCCATCATTGGTGGAGTTCAGAATGCTCTTTGATTGTAGGTAAACTATAAATCCTAGCAACTACAACTCCCAAATGACAAACTCAATCCCCCCCCCCACCAGTATTCAATTTGGGCATATTGGTGCAAACTATAGTTATGAAGTAGCAATGAACTAATTTTATGATTGTGGGTCATCACAATGCAGTCGCTGTTGTCCATGTTTTAACCATCTAGCAGCTTGCAATGCTTTAGAATGAATCCACTTTAAATCCAGTTTGCTGCTTCCTGCAAAATTCTGGGCTTTGTAGTTTAGGGAGGAGCCTTTAACAAACTCACTAAACCACAAACCCCAGAATTCTGCAGGAGGCAGAAACCAGATTTAAAGTGGATTCATTCTCTAGTGTGGTGATGGTCCTTCTATCAGCTCCAACTCCTCATTGAGGGGACATGAGAGAAGCCTCCCACAAGGATGGTAAAACATCAAAATGTCCTCTGGGCAACATCCTTGCAGACGGCCAATTTTCTCACACCAGAAGCGACTTGCAGTTTCTCAAGTTGCTCCTGACCCAACCAAAAAAAAAATCTTATGAAATCCTGGGATTTGTAGTTTAGGGAGAGGCATCTAGAATTCTCACAGAAACTACAAACCCCAAAATTCCATAAGATGATGCAGTGGCAGTTGAAGCCAAATCATAGCACTGCAAGGGCATGATTGAGCCTTGTATACCAGAGGCTCTTATTCCTCCAAACTCTGCCGTTAACGTAAGAATTGCTACTTTTCACACAGCTTTGTGTCACTAGTCCTAAGGAAGTTTGAATCTTTTCCTAAAGTTCAATGGAGTTTACACCAAATTGAAACTTAATCATTTTGCTACGGATTAAGGTAGAATTAGATTCTCAGTTTAAACTACCTTGCATGAAATCAGTGGAATTTCCTGCTGCGTTAATGTGGGTCTGCCTACAGATGTGCTTAGATGAATCCCTTTCTGAAAAATAATTTACTATATTGTATATACATATAATATTTATAATATTATAATTTAACACAATATAATAATAAAATATTATAATTATATATTTTATATTACATGTAATATTACTAATAATATTACAATATAATGGTATAGTACAATATAGTAATATATAATACTGATATTGTACTATGCTAATAATATAATATATTGTATGTATATATCTTGTAAGCCGCTCTGAGCCCCCTTCGGAGTGAGAAGGGCGGCATATAAATGTCGTAAATAAATAAATAAATAAATTGTCCTCCCAGCTAATCAACAAAATTATTTAACACAGATAGATGACCTTTCTGTCATCCACATAGATTTTACTGAATACTGGGAGAGGAATCTCACCTCATGAGCAATTTACGTTTGACGATGCCTTGGGCTTGATTTCTTGGGCGTTTGTTCCACTGAGCTGGCACTGGGAGAGCCCTCTGAAATTGCCTCTTCTGTCATGTTGGCTCTTTTGTTTGGCAGGCATGAATCTGTGGGGAGGGCAGAAAAGAAACTCAAAGCACAGCCTGTGCTAAATATGAAGAGCAAAGGCAATCCAATAAAGCAGAAAACACATTGCAGAATGCAGTCCCTGAATCATTTAAGCATCTGCATGGAAAGAGAGGCTGCACAGCTAACGTTAGGATCACTGTTATTGCATCAGAAATATTTTTTTTTCAAAGAGTAATGACTGGTGGCAGAGGGAGCACCAGGTCATTTGGCTACGAAACTGGATAGCAGCTGAGTCTTTGGCATTAATCCTTCCCCTTCCTTATTCTGCAGAGCAGCCAGCAACAATTTTCAAACTATTTCTTCTAACACTGTTGCCACTAGTTTAATTTTGTCTTCGTAAGAACAAAGAAAAACTCCCTTTTGCATTCCTCAAGAGCAGTATTTCTCAACCTGGGGGTCGGGAACCCTGGAAGGATTGCAAGGGGGTGTCAGAGGGGTTGCCAAAGACCATAAGAAAACACAGTATTTTCTGTTGGTCGTGGGGTTTCTATGTGGGAAGTTTGGCCCAGTTCTATTGTTAGGCTCAGAATGCTCTTTGATTGTAGGTGAACTATAAATCCCAGCAACTACAACTCCCAAATGTCAAGGGTTATTTCCTCCCAAACTCCACCACTATTCACATTTGGGCATATTGAGGATTTGTGTCAAGTTTGGTCCTGATCCATCATTGTTTGAGTCCACAGTGCTCCCTGGACGTAGGTGAACTTCAACTCCAAAACTGCCAAGTTTGGTTCAATTCCATTGTTGGTGGAGTTCAACATTCTCTTTGATTGTAGGTGAACTAGAAATCCCAGCAACTACAACTCCCAAATGACAAAAATCAATCCGCCCCCCAACCCCACTAATATTCAAACTCAGGTGTATCATGTATTTGTGTCAAATTTGGTCCAGTCAATGAAAATACACCATACACTATGTGTAGCAAAATTACAGTTATGAAGTAGCAACAAAAATGATTTCATGTTTGGAGGGGTCACCACAACATAAGGAACTGTATTAAGGGGTCGTGGCATTAGGAAAGTTGAGAAACACTGCTCAAGAGGGACATTGTCAAAAATAACAACATTACTGATTTGGATGGAAGAACCACATTTTCCCAACAGCGTTGGGTTTCAGTCCTCGGGGATCATCAATTACACTATGTAACAAAATTTGAAAAGAATTATGTTCCTGGTTTGAAAGTGTTATTTCTTGTTTAACTGTGTGGTCCTAACTTTGAAAGTTGTTATTATACTCCAGAAACTTTGTTTTAGTGGCTGCCACAAACTATGTTGAATTGGTTGAGACTCTATGACATAGTCATTGAAAAAACTGTAGCAAAGGATGTCTGGCAAAAAACAATATTTTTGCAGTTTAATACACTTTTTTCCATGTGTTTATGTTAGAACCAATTACGAAATGACACTTATAACCCCCAGGAACAAAAATCGTGTTAATTTTGTTATTTTGGAGTCTGGGGCCTTCAAATGAAGACCGGGAAGGGAAGGGCTAGTCCCTGCAAATACGATCCCTGCTGCTCCCAAGTAGCATTCTTGTGTGCCTCCAAGTCATTTCCTGACCTCGAGCGACCCTCCGGTACATCTACTGTTGGGATTTCTTGGCTCCTAAAGAGTCAGCCATTGCTTTCCTTTGAGGCTGAGAGAGTATGATGCACCCAAAGTCACCCAGTGAGTTTCACGGCTCAGCAGGGACTGGGATGCTGGTCTCTAAAAGCATAGTCCAACCTCAGAGTCAGACCTCACAACCTCTGAGGATGCTTGCCATATATACAGGCGAAACGTCAGGAAAGAATGCCTCTAGAACAGCATTTCTCAACCTGGGGGTCAGGACCCCTGGGGGGGTGTCGTGAGGGGGTGTCAAGAGGGGTCACCAAAGACTATTAGAAAACATAGTATTTTCTGTTGCTCATAGGGGTTCTGTGTGGGAAGTTTGGCCCAATTCCATCATTGGTGGGGTTCAGAATGCTCTTTGATTGTAGGTGAACTAAAAATCCCAGCAACTACAGCTCCCAAATGTCAGGGTCTAATTTCCCCAAACTCCACCGGTGTTCAGATTTGGGCATATTGAGTATTCATGCCAAGTCTGGTCTAGATCTATCATCGTTTGAGTCCACAGTGCTCTCTGGATGTAGGTGAACTACAACTCCTAAACCCAAGGTCAATGCCCACCAAACCCAGTATTTTCTGTTGGTCATTTCTGTTGGAGTTCTGTGTGCCAAGTTTGGTTCAATTCCATCATTGGTGGAGTTCAGAATGCTCTTTGATTGTAGGTGAACTAGAAATCCCAGCAACTCCAGGTCCCAAAGGACAAAATCAATACCCCTCCCCAACCCCACCAGTATTCAAATTTGGGCTTATCGGGTACTTGCACCAAATTTGGTCCAGTGAATGAAAATACATCCTGCATATCAGATATTTACATTACAATTCATAACAGTAGCAAAATGACAGTTATGAAGTAGCAACTAAAATAAGTTTATGGTTGGGGGTCACCACAACATGAAGAACTGTATTAAGGGGTTGTGGCATTAGGAAGGTTGAGAACCACTGCTCTAGAACATGGCCATATAACCCAAAAAACCTACAACAACCCATAGTCCAACCGTTACAAAAAAGCAAGTGGATTAATGGGGTGTTGTGTTGTTTCTGGCAAGGGTGTGCAAAATGGCAGAAATCTGTTCTGTTTCTGTGTTTTCAAATCTCTTCCTCCTCCCACTTCTGATTTTGGAAAGATTCAGAGAAATTAGGAAGAGGGCCCTTTGGATTCGTAATTTGGGATCCTGAGTTCCGTTTCAGGAAGAATCTTCCCAAAAATAGAACTGGGGGAGAGGGAAGCGATTCAAAAACAGAATGAAAACCAAACAGATTTCTGCCATTTCTCACACCCCTACCAGAAACGACACAACACCCCATTAATCCCACTTTCTTTTGCACTTTGAAATGATGACATTTCACATACTCACTACTTCTGAGGATGCTTGCCATAGATGTAGGTGAAACGTCAGGAGAGAATGCCTCTAGACCATGGCCATATAGCCCCAAAAAACTACAACAACCCAGTGATTCCGGCCATGAAAGCCTTCGACAATACATTTCATATACTTCCAGTTTCTGGGCTGTATGGCCCTGTTCTAGCAGCATTTTCTCCTGACCTTTCACTGGCTACATCTGTGGCCGGCATCTGCAGAGGATCTGATGGTAGTCAAGCAAGTGGAGTATCGATAGATACCTGTGGATTGTCTAGGGTGGGAGAAAACCATTTTCTGTTTAGGGATCTATACTCCCCTTGCTTGAATACCATTGCGTGGCTCGAGAGCAGTATGTGTGAAAAAGATCTTGGGGTCCTCCTGGGTTAGAAGCATGATCATGAAGTTTGCAGACAACACCAAATTGGGAGAGATAGCCAATACTCCAGAAAGCAGGAGCAGAATTCAAAACGATCTTAACAGATTAGAGAGATGATTGGCCAAAACTAACAAAATGAAGTACAACAGTGACAAATGCAAGATACTCCACTTAGGCAGAAAAAATGAAATGCAAAGATACAGAATGGGGGACGCATGGCTCAAGAGCAGTACGTGTGAAAAAGATCTTGGAGTCCTGTGGACAACAAGTTAAACATGAGCCAACAATGTGATGCGGCGGCAAAAAAAGCCAATGGGATTTTGGTCTGCATCAATAGGAGTATAGTGTCTAGGTCCAGGGAGGTCATGATACCCAGCACTAAACCCAGAGTCTGCTTTGCAATCCAACTATGTTAAGCCAATCAATAAGATCTTGGCACTATAAGACTTCTACCAACATGGATAGAGAGACCTCACCATCACAAGAAAAAACACCTGCCTCCCAAAAGACCTCATACCACAGTTTATACCCCTCATGAAGAGCTGGGTTGCATTCCTGTCCTTAAACAGTATTCAGAGGACTCCTTAATTGTGAGGATCTGGGAACCTCTGGGAGGGCATAAAGAATGGGGGTGGATATTATGGGGAGCCCGGGTGTGGGTGGGGGATGGTAACTAGACCTCTATAGGTGCTATAATAATTTTATTCGGTCGGCACCTTAATCACTCTGACTTGGACACCACCTCAGCCCTGTTGACTTGTAAATGCCTTTTTACTTTTAATGTTTTGAGTGGTTGCTATCATTAGATCTAGTAGTAAACATGTTCTAAATGTTTGATTTATATATTTAAATGTCTAAGTTTGTTATTTTTGAGTTGTTCTATAAGTACACCTGATGTTGTTTATTTTATTGTTTATGATTTGATTTGTTTGTTATGTTATGCCGGCATTGAATGTTTGCCAATTTTCTGTTGTAAACCGCCCTGAGTCCCCTTGGGGAGATAGGGCGGTATAGAAATAAATAATAATATTATTATTATTATTTCATCATGGTTAGACCACACCCTGGAATATTGTGGTCCAATTCTGGGGACACACAACTGAAAAGAAGTATTGAAAGCTGGAATGTGACTGCCCCCAGGCCCTGTAGCCAGGATTTTGATTTGGGGGGGGGGGCTGAGTTTTTCGGGGGGGGGGGGGGGGAGTTCGGGGGGGGGGGGGGGCGGGGGGGCTGAGTCTGAGTGAAAGAGGGTCTACTCTAGCAAACCTTTTGTATCGTTACCCCAATACCCCCATGCATATGGGATATATTGAGCATGGTGATCAGATCATGATATGAATAAACATAACAGTTTAAATAATGTACCAGTAAGGCCTTTTCGCAGACCATCATGAGAATTGGGGGGGGGGGGCTTCAGCCCCCCAAGCCTCCCCTGGCTGGAATGTGTCCAGAGGAGGGCGACCAAAATGATCAAGGGTCTGGAGAACAAGTCCTATGAGGAGTGGCTTAAAAACCTGGGCATGTTTAGCCTGAAGAAGAGAAGGCTGAGAGGAGATATGATAGCCATGTGTAAATACGTGAGAGGAAGCCACAGGGAGGAGGGAGCAAGCTTGTTTTCTGCTTCCCTGGAGACTAGGACACAGAGCAATGGCTTCAAACTACAAGCGAGGAGATTCCATCTGAACATTAGGAAGAACTTCCTGACTGTGAGAGTTGTTCAGCAGTGGAACTCTCTGCCCCGGAGTGTGGTGGAGGCTCCTTCTTTGGAGGCTTTTAAACAGAGGCTGGATGGCCATCTGTCGGGGGTGCTTTGAATGCAATTTTCCTGCTTCTTGACAGGGGTTGGACTGAGGTCTCTTCCAACTCTAGGATTCTATGATCAGATCCTCTCAAGATGCCAGCCACAGATGCTCCTAGAACACCGCCCTCCAGCCCGGAAAACATACCCCCCTTCCTAGTGATTCCGGCCGTGAAAGCCTTCGACAACCCAAGTGGGATCCAAAGAGCAGAGACCTGCTTCCTCTGCTACCTGCCAGTTGTTGTTTGAAGGAGAAGGAGGGGCTTTGGTAACCCTGGAGCAGAAAAGGCCCGGATGTCCCCGGGGAGCAGGAGAGAATGGAGGCTGGGCGCTTACCGTCCGAGACGGGCCGCTTCCTCGAACTGGGCGGGCCTTGGCCCTCCTCCGCTCGTGCTGCCTCGGGGACCCCGTCCTCCTCCTCCTCCTCTTCTTCCTCCTCCTCCTGGTTGTGCGCAGAGAGTCCCTTGCAGTGGTGCCTGCGGGGCGGGCTGGCTGCGGGGCGGCGGGCGAGCCGCGGCGGGCGGCTGTAGAAGTCGGGCAGGGCGTCCTTGCGCAGGGCGCGCCACTCGAAGCGCGGCTCGGGCCCTCGGAGGGGCTGCTCGCGGAGGAAGTCAAACTCCCACCGGGCTTGGGCGGCCTCCTCGGCCTGGCGGCGGTGCCGTCGCAGCTCGCGGGCCAGCTCGGCGTGGTCCACGGGGCCGAAGAGGCTCCGGCAGGCCGAGGGCTTGGGCGCCCCCTCCGCCTGCCGCGCCTCCATCCGCTCCAGCGTCGGGCTCCCGCTCGAGACGCGCACCGTCGACATCGCCGCGGAGCCGGGGCGCTCCCTGCGCCGCGCCGCGCATAAGCCGAGCCTCCCCCCGCCCCGGGCAGAAGAAGGAAGACCGAAGCGGGGAAGCCCAAAGGCTCCTGCCCCGCCGCGCCCGATGTCAACGCTCCTCCGAAGGAGAAAAACAAGGCGGGGAAGCCGCGAGGGGCGGGCGCAGGACGAGCCTCTTTCCCCCCCAGTGGCCCAATATGGCGATGGAAGGGAGGCTGGCCCGGGAGGCGATGATTGACACAAGGGCCCTCGCTTTAAAGGGAGGCGCCGCCCCATTGGTGCAAACACAGGCGTGACGTCACCCAACCTGGCCTTCCTCTCCCCCTCCCTCCCAGTCTGTTTGTGCCCAATCGTGTTTGTCAAGCTATGGACCCATAACAGCACAGTCTAGTGCAGCTCTCTAGTCAGGTTTTTGCAGGGGAAAAAGCAACAACCCTTCCGTTCCACTCAGCCAAACAATGAGGAGCCAATGTGTTCTCCATTCAGGGATTCGTGGCCGGAATCACTGTGAATCTTTCGGGTTGTATGGTCATGTTCCAACAGCATTATCTTCTGACGTTTCGCCTGCATCTATGGCAGACATCACAGAATCATAGAGTTGGAAAAGAACTCTCCAAGGACATCAGACATGCCCCAACTCTGGCAGTCTTTAGGAGGAGCCTGAAAACGTGGTTGTTCCAGTGTGCCTTCCCAGAATAAGGAAAACTCTCAGCTATATGCCCTCAAAATGCACTTTACCACTGATTTAGGACTGACTGCATTCCCTCACTTCTCTTTGAAAATCCTGTCCATGGTGGTCCACGCTCTTGTTACATCCCGGATAGATTACTGCAATGCACTCTACGTGGGGTTGCCTTTGAAGACTGTTCGGAAACTTCAATTAGTCCAGCAGGAGGCAGCCAGATTGCTCACTGGAGCGTCATACAGGGAGCATACCACCCCCCTGTTATATCAGCTCCACTGGCTGCCGATCCAGTTCCGAGCACAATTCAAAGTGCTGGTTTTGACCTAGAAAACCCTATACGGTTCCGGCCCAGCGTATCTGTCCAAACGCATCTCCTTCTACATCCCACCTCGGAGTTTAAGATCTTCTGGGGAGGCACTGCTCTCGACCCCACCTCTATCACAAGTAAGATTGGTGGGAACGAGGAGCAGGGCCTTCTCAGTGGTGGCCCCTCACCTGTGGGACTCACTCCCTGGGGAAATTAGGTCATCGACATCCCTCCTCTCCTTTAGAAGAAAATTAAAAACATGGATTTGGGACCAGGCCTTCGGGTAATCTGGCGGATAGATAAGGCACAAGCAACGACTAGAATTGATGGATTGGACAATGTGGAATTTGAATTTACGGACTCTGAGCTGATAAACGTTGAGCACTAGATTGTTTTTAGGGATTGTGATGTATAATGGATTGTTTTAATTGTTTTAATTACTGTTTATATGTTTTATTTTTTACCTTGTTGTTGTGCCAGCATCAAATTGTGCCTTTTTGTAAGCCGCCCTGAGGCCCTCCTCAGGGGTTGAGAAGGGCGGGGTAGAAGTGCGAGAAATAAATAAATAAATAAATTCGCCTATTTCTCCCTTTTGCTATTGGCGCCTCTCCAAAATCCACAGCACTGTTGGTAACAGCTGACTTCATGTTACAACACTCGAGTGCCAAGGCTTCCCAGTTTTTTGGTGTTTATACCATCTTTAAATCTTTTTTTGCTGTCCACTAACATCATAGACACATGCCCATCACACTTAAAATGTGTAAAGTGGAAGACCTACAGAATGCAAAAGTGAAAAGAGATGAGACAATGAAGAAATGAGGAATGTGGACATATTCATCATCCAGGGGCTTCTACTGACACAGACAATAATCAAGAAGGGACTTGGAGAGCTGTTGTGGATATTAACTACCAAAGCCTGTTTTTTTGTGTCCTGAAGGCACATAAGATTGTCCATGAAATTAAAACCCACCATGAGATATTAATTAACACTCCTTCCCCCACCACCGTTTCCATCTGTGGAGCCAGTTTTAGCCAGTTTGCTGCCTTTGCTTCAAGGGGTGGGAAGAAAACTGACACCCTGTGTTGCTTTTGAAAAGTTTTTTTCCCCCGGTCTGTGATTATCATTTTTTTTTCAATCAAATAAGTCATAGTGGTTTGCGTTCCTGCCTATATACACATATTTGAACATTGTTGCAGTGTGTTAAGTGAAGCTTAGTTCTAATTAAGAGACAGTAAGTTCAAATAGATTTATTACAGAGCAAGTCTGTCCTTAAAATGTTTAATGCTTTAAAACATTTGAAGCCTTCGTTTATGCTTATATCGGTCTGGCCTATTTTATCCTTTGTCACAACATGCCATTCTTCAGAAATAATAAAAATAAAATAAAATTTTATTTATATACCGCTCCATCTCCCCGAGGGGACTCAGAGCGGTTCCCAAGTAATATCACAAAACATACAGAGTAAAAACAACATAACCATAAGATTCACAAACAAAAATATAAACATAAAAATTGTCACCATAACACACATATATTAAAAGTACTCCTGCCTGTTCAAGGCAATTAAAAATTTTGAAGGCCGGGCCAAGATTTATGCAAGCCCAAAAATTCTAGGGGGGTCCGGGAATTAAGTGCAATGTTATGGCAGGCAACAATAATATTAGGTACGGGTCTGTGGCTGTTCATTCCGGGGCCAATTACAGGAAAGAATCTGGGTAACTGGTAGGAAGAATAAGGCCGTATTAGACAATATGTGGGGCTGAGTTAGAACTGGTCATTTTCAAAGGCTTGTTGAAACCACCAGGTCTTCAAGCTCTTACGAAAGGAGGGGAGGGATAGGGCCTTTGGAAGGGCGTTCCAGAGACGGAGGCCAGCACTGAGAAGGCCCACTCTCTCGTCCCACTAACCACACTTGAGACGGTAGTGGGACCGAGAGGAGGGCCTCCCCAGAAGATCTTAGTGCTCGCGCGGGTTCATAGAAGGAGATGCGATCGTGGAGATAGGCAGGGCCCAAACCAGAGAGCACCAGAGAGAAAGCAACATTAGACCTGTAAATATTTATTTATTACTAGTCGTCCCCTGCCACATGTTGCTGTAGCCCAATCTGGTGACCTGGAAAATCAAGTAATGAAAAAGTGCTGGTTTCTAATATATGTAATGTCTTTATGCTTGTGGGTCAAAAGTATTTCTTGCTGTTTCTTTGTCAGTGTTGATGTGGAGAGTGTCTGGTTTGCCTACTCTGGAACATGCGACATGGAAATTGTCCTTCTTTAGGGGTCCCTTTCAAATCTATACTATATCTCTCTGTGTGTGAATCATTTCTATCTATCTAATCTATGGCTGGATGGCTCTTTGTCAGGAGGGCTTTGATTACGTTTTCTTGCCCTCATGAAGGTAGTTGGATGGCCTTAAGTCTTTTCTGTTGGTGATGGGGGTTCTGTGTGGAAAGTTTGCCCCAATTCTATCGTTCGTGGGGTTCAGCATGCTCTTTGATTGTAGGTGAACTATAAATCCCAGTAACTACAACTCCCAAATGTCAAGGTCTATTTCCCCCATCTGTGTTACTATTTGGGCATATGGAATATTCGTGCCAAGTTTGGTACAGATCCATCATTGTTTGAGTCCACAGTGCTCTCTGGATGTAGGTGAACTACAACTCCCAAACTCAAGGTCAATGCCCACCAAACCCTTCTAGTGTTTTCTGTTGGTCATGGGAGTCCTATCTACCAAGGTTGGTTCAATTCCATCATTGGTTGAGTTCAAAATGCTCTTTGATTGTAGCTGAACTATAAATCCCAGAAACTACAACTCCCAAATGACAAACTCAATTTTTTTGAGTGAAGGACATATATTGGGTGGTTAGGTGTATGCTGTCCAAATTTGGTGTCAATTCCCCCAGTGGTTTTTGAGTTCTGTTAATCCCACAAACGAACATTACATTTTTATTTATATAGACTAGCAGTCTTCTTCTACGCGTTGACTCTTTTTCGAAATTTTAGGAGGGAGAGGGCCGATCTAATATTCCTAGGGAGGCCATTCCATGGCCTCTGAGAAGACCCTGTCTCTCGTTCCCACCAGTCACATCTGTGAAGGAGGCGGAAGCGAGAGCAGGGCCTCCCCAGACGATTTTAGAAACCTATATGGTTTATAGGGAGAGATGCGTTCGGACAGGTAAGCTGGGTCAGAACCGTTTATTATTAGCTTGTAGAGCTTGATTTAGTTGGTTCAGTTCACCTTGGAGGAGATGGAGTTTGCAGATCCTGTTTGCACAGTCGGCCTGGGCTTTGGTTGTGCTTCTTTTTTGACCCTGGTGACGGTTGGAATTTTTATGTAGGTATCTATCAGTGTGCATAGGTTTTCTGAAAACTGTGTCCAGTTGTTGATTTAGTTTGCAGATGACCAGGACATCTAGAAATTGTAGTTTTCCTTCATTTTCTTTTTCCATGGTAAATTGGATGTTTGGGTGAATGTTGTTGATGTGGTCCAGGAACTTGTTTAGTCCTTCTTCTCCATGATTCCAAATTGTGAAAGCATCCTCCACATATCAGAACCATATAGTGGGCTTTTTTGTGCTGTTTCCAGGGCTCGTTTTTCAAAGTGTTCCATGTAAAAACTTGCTCCATGTAGCTAAGTCAAGTTAGTTACTCAAGCTCTTAGGGAGGTAGGTGCCATTGTACAGGATAGTCTGTAGCTCCTTAAAGATACATTATGGGCAATTTCAACAATGACAACAAGTGGTATTGTATCATTTTCCCATTCTGGATCTATTCTGCAACAAACTTTTCTGGGTACCAATCAAGACTTTTCAGGGGTTTTTTTTTTCACTTTGGTGAGTCAATATTGTACTTTAAGAATTAAATTATGTTGTGAATCTAAGTCCAACAAGTCTGAACAGATAGGGAGTGTAAAACTGATTTTGTGATATCTTCTGTGGGAAAGCTGGAAGCATGCAATTATGTATAATGTAGTAGCCAGCACCCCTTCATTTGAAATGTGGTGTCTGTGTCTCAGTTATGGAGAAGCAAAGTACTACCGGAGAAGTGGACTTCTCATGTGGATTGGTCCTCATTCATCCTCACAGCATCTTTAACTTCTACTGCAGTGTTCCCTGCCTAAAGTCCTGTCTAACACTATTGCTAATCTCCCATTTTAAAAAAATCGAGATTACCTGTTTTGCATATATGTACATAACGAGATATCCTGGAGATGAGATCCCAAGTCTGAACATGAAATTCATATTTC